GACATACTTTGCCTTGCTCCCGAAAGGGCCTTGCTGTCTGTGTCTTCCTTCCGCCCTGGCCCTGCTGCCTGCTCTCGCCCTTGTCCCTGGTCAAATCCTGTCTGCCCAGATGCTTCCAGCCTTGTCTGGGAGGGGCTCAAGGGCGCAGACTTCAGCACAATCTTGCTGCGCGCATCAGCATGGGGTAAAAGCGTTGGAAAAGCCGGCAGGGAGTGCGTGCTGGCTCGGGGCAGGCAAAAAAGCGGCAGGTGGGCGCGCTGAAGCGGATCCGGGCTGGGCAGGCGCCCGTGGAGCCCGTGTGCTCGCTGCAGGTGGTGCTCATTGGACGCGTGCAGTCGGCCCCGCAGGAGATGGAGGCAGGACGCATACGCCGTGAGCTACGCCGACTGGGCAAGCACACGGCAGACGGGGTACATTCTTGGCAAGACGCACACCAGAGCCAGCCTTGCCGCCTAGGACGCCACCCTGGTCTCAAGGACACCTAGCCTGGGCTGAGCCAGGCAGGGGCGTCCCCAACCCAGGGTCCCAAGGCCACGCTGGCTCCACGCTGCAATTTCAGGCATGTCCACACGAGGGCGCACTACCTACCCATCAATCGCCCACGTGGGGCCATTGAGTGAAACCAAAAGAACCGCTCCAGGGCACGGCTTTGCAGAACTCCCTGGCCAGTGCTGCCAAAGATGCCCAGTGCACCGGGATGAGAACTTTGACTGCCCAGGGACACGGGCTAGACAGCCTGGCCAGCATTCACCACCCCCCTTCTTCTCTAGAGCGATCTCCGTGCAGTGAAGTCTCTTCCTGGGGCTTGGGTTTGACCTCGCGGTGCTCTGATGTGTGGCAGCGCTCTGGGAGCTCTGCGACGTCCGGGACGGACACCGGGGCCTAGAGGCTTCGGTTGAGTGTGCTTCCTGCCTTGCGCTGCGATTAGACAGCGACCTGGCGCCACCTCAGGTCTGCATGGCCCACGTGGGACATGCTGTGCCTTGCACCTGAAAGGGCCTTGCTGTCTGTGTCTTCCTTTCGCCCTGGCCCTGCTGCCTGCTCTCACCCTTGTCCCTGGCCAAACCCCGTCTGCCCAGATGCTTCCAGCCCTGTCTGGGAGGGGCTCAAGGGCACAAACGAGCACAAGCTTGCTGTGAGCATAGGCTTGACCTCAAAGCGTCGGAATCGGTGGGAGGAGTGCGTGTTGGCTCAGGAGGCGCAGAGAAGCGGGAGATGGGCGTGCTGAAGCAGAACGGGCTGGGTAGGCGAAAGAGGCACCCGTGGAGGCCCTGGTGGTTGCTCGTCGAGGCCATGCGGGCTCCACGCAAGATGGTGATGTTCCGTTGGGATCACGCAGACAGTGCGCCGGGGGCTCGAGGCAGGAAGCACACTCAGTGAGGCACACAGGCCCTGCAGGCGCGTGGCAGGCCGGGTACAAGCTTGGCAAGGGACGTGCCAGAGCCAGTCGGGCCGCCCCATTCTCAAGGGCACTGGCCTGGGCAGTGCAAGGCAGGGGCGCCCCCAGCCCAGGGTCCCAATGCCACGCGGGCTCCGCGCTGCAGTTTCCCACTATGTCCACAGGAGGGCGCACTACCCTCGTCAGTCGCCCGCGTGGCGCCAGCGCAGTGCTGCTGGAGGGCCCGCTCCAGGCTCCGCTTTGAGACGCTCACTGGCCAGTGCTGCAAAAGATGC